TCTATTGGTATGATGGTGCGTTCTGCTGCTTCCGATCTAGCCGCTAACACAACTCGAACCTTTTGTCATAGTCCCCAATGCTTGAATAATGGAACCCGCTATCACCACGTATATCCTCCAACCATGAGGATCTGTGGATTGTTTGTTGGTGGCTCATTCCTCCTGTACGTTCTCTTGTCATCTTCAGCTGCTTCCACCTTGGAGATCCAACCGTTCCGCTCACACATTCCCTTGATCTCCTCGTATGCAGAGTCCGAAAAATTCAACAAGAGCCGAGGATAGGAGCCGTTTTCAATCTCCTTCTCTATCTCTGCCAACGCAAATGGGAGGTAACCTGAAGGCAGCCAGGATCTCCTTGCTCCTCCTTCATGCAAGCGAACAGGATCTGCCAGTTGTCTCTGTCAGCCGAGTACGCATCCGTGTAGTCTTTCTGCCATTGGTTGATGCGTCTAAAATGGCCAGCCACTTCATTATCTTCAATCGCCCGATCAATGACCGTCAGGGTCTCCTTGGTCCATTCTAACTCTTCCTTGTATGTTGTCGCCTCTTCCTTACATTTTGCCGCCTCCGCCTTGCACTGCTCGATCTCTGCCCGCAAAGCCTCTACTTCCGTCTGTTCGGTGACAGCCATGTGGGCCAGAGCAACGGCCACTTGGTTAATGTCAGGCTCTTCGTGCCTGGTGCGTTTGGCTGGCCGCTTGCTCATGGTCAAAACTTATAGTCAAAACTTCGGATGAGACGAGACAACAAAGACATCAACCACAAGTTAACAGGTGAGTTAACAGGTGAGCTTACCTCAAAGTTTGTCGAACTGTCGAACTGTGCGAACGATTTTGGTATGCAGCCACAAGCGTGAGGGCTGCAGCATCGTGGCATCGTGGGGGCTCCACGAAAGGAGTGCAGTGACAGCTTCCTCGATGGAGTCGGCCGACAATACCGCCGACAATATCGGTATCTTCATCATCGACTCCTTTTGGCGATTGTCAGGAAGCTGTGGATGCAGATGACGGACCAACCGATGGTAGCTGCATGATGCATGGTCGTCCATGGTTACTACCTATACTAACAGTTTGATGTTGCCATCGTGACAAGGTTTTAAAAAGGTGCATGGACGAGCCGCCGAGAATAGTGAGACTCCCAGATTCTGGGAGTGGGGTCTCCCAGAATTTGGGACTCCGAGCGTTAAATCTCTCGATTACGAGCTAGTACTGGTAGCAGGCATCAGCTGCAGGTTGGTTGTGCCAGTGTGCCAGTTAACGCTTTTTCCAGTTCACTGGTTACTGGTAGCACTGGTACCAATAATACCGGTAGCTCAAGGGATACGACCAGTAATATCTACCGGTAACCCGTACTAAGAGTGTGTCCAGACCGCTACTTTGCAAGGGCCTCATCTTCATTTTAAGGCCATATGGGAGGGGTCGGGAGCTGGTGATCGTTGGCAATTGGGCCTAACGGCCTTTTTCACAAAAGTGAGATCTCGAATTTTGTCAAAGAAAGCCCGTTGGCTTTTCACGGGCCTGAGATCTAAAATTTATTTCCAGCTGTCATCTGATTGGCCGCTCATCCATGCATCACTCCCACGGGTACCTTCAACAAATTTCACGAGCGCCCAACCCATCCCAAATGTACGATAAAAGGGAGATAATGAAGATGATACTACTGCAACTTTACGTAGAGTTAAGTAGAGTTTCTACATGTACAGAACGCAACGCAATGATGTGGCTCATTTCTATTGGTCATAGGTCGTTGTTGCATTGAAGGAATCATGCCGTAGGGCTTTGAATTTGAAGATACGTAGCCAAAAGATACGATTTTCTTTGTTGATTGTCGCTTGTCTGGAGAGGAAGCCTTGTTGAGATCTCATCACAAAATCCTTCCAAGATGGAGGGAATGATGCGCCGCCCCAGCGGCGCTGCTGCTGCTAGCCGCCCAAGCGGCGCTGCTGCTGCTGCTAGACGCATGGAGGTAGAATTAGAGCTGTCGAGCTCATCTGATGATGAAGGAATGCCTCCCCTTGCCGCTCGTCCAGCCCCACCTCGTGAACCCCCTCGCCCTCGTGGTCCTCGCGAAAGCCCTATTGTCCCTGCACGACGTGCTCCAAGCCCAGCATTCTTGTCACAGGCCGACGATGATTTCAATGCAACTCTTCAAGCAAGCCAGCAAGATGCCGATGATGATCTTGTCGTTTTGGAGGAAGAGGATGACGGACTAACTGCTTGTGAGAGGGTCTATCGCAACAAGAACAACTCTCAGCCTGATTTGCTATCAATGTGCATTGGACTGAAGACAGCGGACAACACTCGCTGGCTTGCAGACTTTGAAAATGACGATCTCTACAAGGATTTGCCTCAGAGATCTTCCTTCTGCCCGAAAGTGATGAACTTGAAGATTGAAATCCGTCGCAGAGCGAAGCAGTTGGGAGCGGCCGTGCGATGCTCTGCTTTGCTTCGTCCTCAATGCATTGCCTGGTTGAAGAACAATCCTATTCAGGATGTACGTGACATCGCATTTCTTCGCTTGGAAGAAGCCAAGACATACCGTGTTCTCGAAGAACAAAAGGAAGAAAGGGATGCAGCTGCTGCCAACCGCCTCGCCAATTCCAATTGGAACGTCCATAAGCCCTGGTTGCGTCTGTACATGGCAATGTGTCATGATGCAGCACGTGAAGCTTTAATGATGGATGGGCAAGTCATGAACCGAGAAGAATTGGATGCCAGGAACTCTGATGAACGTCCACCGTCTTATGCCCAAGTAGTTGCAGGAATCTACAATGACGCCACCTGGACTCCAGTCACTGAGGCCCTTCCCGAGCTTCACTCCCTGTTCGAAGAACCCATTTCTCTTCCATTTAATGAGATGCCAGGTGGGGAAGTGAGCCAGGAAGAAGTCAAAACGCGTATTGCCGATAGCCGTGCCAGATTGATCTCCGTACGTACTTGTTGTTGAGCCAGTCGTCCAGTCATGACTGCACATAGAAAGCTTTAACCATTGTTCTTCTTCAACCTCTTGACCGGCAGATCATTTTTGATTGGGAGTTATCTGGAAATGGCTTTGGCCAGCGAACCCAAGGTGACGGTCAGTGGGGACACTTCAGCGAACAGCATATGGAGCTCGAGGATGGTGACAACAGAGCCAACTTCGTAAAGCCCCACCTCGGCCAGCGTATTCACCACTTGTATCTCTGGCACCTTTCCGATAGCATGGAGATCTTGACAAAGGTGTTGAATGTCCTCTCGGGAGAGGTAGCAGCTGATAGTGAACGTGCAGGAGACACTGCTGTTGTTCGTCGTCGTCGCAGAGCTGCTGCTGCTCTTGCTGCTGATCGCAGACAACGCAAGAAGTTTCGCAATGTGGTTGGGAGCTCCCTCTCTGCTATTGCAATCACCAACAAAGAAGACAACATCAGGCACGAAGAAGATAAGGTTGAACGCCTTACTTTTGCACAGCTTGCTGCTGAAGATGAAGGCAATGATCGCAAAGTTGAGTTGTACGGGCAGCTTCTCGCGCACCACAAGGCAAAGATCGGAGATTATCAGGATGAGCTTGCTGCCATGAAGAAAGCTTACAACAAGATCTTGGAGGATAACAATGATGATGACGAAGATGAATAAATAGCATTAAGAGATACTAGTAGCATTGTGTTTGTTTGGCCATGAGCTCGCTGTTACTATTGTGCAATATTTCCTGCCGCTACCACACCTCGTACCTTTGTTTTGCTTTCCACGTACTATTTTGCTTTGCTTTCGGACGTACGATATTGCTGCTACTATCCTTCGAAGGGTACTATACCGGGCTCTTCAACATACAAGCAACTAGTAGCTAGGATCTTCAACAAGCAAAGGGATCCTACGATTATTGCAACTACAAGTTATTAATTGGCAGCAGCCCTCCAGCGAGCAGGTGTCGGCCTCTGCAAACCCTTGGAAACAACAATCTCCATCATCTTGTCACGAGGGATCTGCTCTCGGCTGTTATTCGGCATGCCGCGACGGAACTGCTAGCGAAGGCCAGCAGGTACATCATCAAAGTGCTCCCCACCATGCAGCAACTGCTCTGGGGAGTTGTCATTCATATCGTTGCTCTCCAGTGGAATACCCCCGCCACCAAGGATCTCTGCGGCATCGGAAGCAAGGGTGAGGGGAACAGTTTCATTATCGTCGTTGTTGGTACCTCGCTCCTCCAACCTGCAATTGATGCAGTAGTTGTGAAGCCGACAAAGGCAGAGCACAAGAGCACCAGTCTTCCGAATACCCACCGATGCAGGAATTGCCTTGCGAAGTATTCCCCAGCGATTTACCAGCATGCCAAAAGCACACTCGATGCGAATGCGAAGCTGGGAATGATAGTAGTTGAAAGCGTCTCTTGGTCCAGAAGAGACATTCTTGAATGGGGCTGTCATGTAATGGTTGGTGATGTAAGCCGAGTCGCCATAAATTGTTAAGCCGTGGTCCAGAAAGCCAAATGTCTCGAGTCGCTTGTTCAGCCGGGATGTTGTGAAAGCAAGAAAGTCGCTTGTTGAAGCTGGATGAAGGATGGAGATGTCAAGAAAGCGGCCTTCAACATCACAGGTTCCCTGGAGATTAAGTCCAAACTTCTTCTTTCGGCCACACATGAACTTCTTTGTGGTGCAACCACTCTCGGCACAGTCGGCATCAGTAGGCTTCTCAATCCAGATTAGCATGCCATCGATGGCTCCAGCACAGTTCTTGAAACCGGCTTTACTTTTCTTTGCAAAACCTTTTGCAATCTTCTGCTGTGCTGCATGGCTTCTTGGGTAACGAAATCCGAGTTCTTTGTGAGCCTTGTTCACGGCATCCACCACCTTCCAAACACTTTCGAAGACAGCACTATGGGAGATTCCATGCACCAAAGCAATGTCTTCTGGCCTCCCACCAGCAAAGTAGCGAATGGCTACACTAAGACGGGTTGGAGTGGAGATCACACCATTCTTGGCTCCAATCCTTTGAGGCTTGCCATCTTTCCTTGGTGGACTCCTCAGATACTTGTACAGGATGCGATGCAGTTTCCAAAAGGAGTCTCCTGACATCCTGTAAGCCCGTCGCGTGTAATAAGGCCCGAGCTCCTCCATTATCTTGTGCACGTATTTCCTTTCACGTGGACGGTGTCGTGCACCTGGGGCTTTCCGTGGCATACTGTCCAGGAGAACGTTCATCATCAGCTTTTCTTCATCTTGGTCATCTTCCTCTTCGAATCCAAACTCAGCGGGGAATGCAGACAGCAACAACCCTGCGGTGATGGTCACAAGCTGCGCCTTGGTAGCCAAAGCAAATCCATCTTCAGCTGAAGCGGCAAAGTCAAAAAGCAAGAGCCACAAAAGCGCCCACAGGGCAAAGCAAAAACGAAGACGGCCATCCATCTTTCAGAGGTTCTGCGAAGATAAAGGCAGACTCTAGAATAGCATTCGTAGCTCTCTTGAACAACAATCTTCATAGCAGACGTGGTCTATTCATTGTCATTCCTTGAGCTTTTTGACGATCGTATCTTTTGTCTGTTCAAGAGCGATTTAGAGGTAGGGGTAGCTGCGAAGTGGTACTAAAATGTGATTCAAGGACCTGTGTGGTCTGGAGGGAAGAATTATAGAGGCCCTTCGAGCCATTAATTTGACCAACCGATTTACAAATCGCAAAGACTAGGCCGATACCCCCAAAAGCGGTCTGGACTCACTCTAATAGTCGTACGACACGCAGCTAAACAACTTTTCTTGCACAACTAGCTGCGATGTAGCTTGAGCCTCGCTACGCTCTTCTCTCTCTCCAAACGATCGAGTAGGGTTTCTTCTCGCTCGGTTGCCGACCTTCACCAGGTCGCCTCCACCATCCAGGATGCCGATGTCTCTGGCATACAACCCATTTCGAACGACTATGGAGTCTGAAATTGATCATTATTTACCGGTGTGCTTGCGAGGAGAGTGCACAACACAACTAACTGGAATTAGAAAGGAGCCTCAGCATCCTTCAGATCCTTGCTTCTGAGGAGTTCCAATGTACCGTATGTTAGGATCACTGCCCCCAGAACAAAACGGGCTAATACATGTTGTATTGAAACTTGTCATCTCACGAGCAATACAAATATGGTACCAAATAATGCTACTACCAGGCCCTCTCGCTCGTGCTGTAGAAGACGGTTGAAGGGATTTCCAAAAGCAATGTGTCGACTTGTTTTGGAGATGATATTATCACAGATTCGCTCCCAGGCCAGTTCTGTGCCATGTCTCGTTCACTTCCTTTCATTGCAGTTCTTTGGAAGTGCCAACGAATGTTGGTTCTGCCTACTACTATTAATAGCTAGCTAGCCAGTCCTGCACTATGGCAAGGCTGTTTCTGGTCATTAAGAAGCTACCAACGTTCAGGCCTCCTAGCAGTGTTTGGTCCACGGAATCTTTCCTCCGCTCCGTTCTCTTTCATCCCCAGGCATTGCCACATGAGGCAGCACCGGTAGTCGACGTGTGGAGGCCGCAACGAAACCCTGCTTCAAACTACAACCGTAACTAAATGATGGTTGGATGACGAACCACTCTGTTTTCCAATATTTCTATTAACTGGTCCACGCTACCGGTGTGCCTCCTTCAGCCTCCTTTTTGCTGCACTTTGGACCAAAGCAGTCTATCGTCGCCTTTGGTACGATTGCGAATTGCCCTACTAGATTGTTTTTCCTCTCCGCTCCCATGGCTGGTTGCTGAATGTTTGAATAAAAATCTTCATTGGTTGCCAGAGGTCCCTGCATGGCTCGATGATTATCCCCAGCTTGGCGTTTTATTGTCCCGAGTCACCGCCCACCTTGAATAATTAAGTTGGGTTCGGGCCCAGCTTGGCTGCGAGATCAGCCATGTACGTAGCAGTAGTACCTTCGTCGCCACACCCAACCCTGATCTGAACATTTACAATAATAGTACTTCCATCTGTTCAGTCAATCAATCAATTTGCAAGACAACATCGTTGCTGTTGTCAGTAGCAGTAGTCGGCATGGTTGCCATTTCCACGACAATCGTAGAAGATGCACGAGTCACAGTTTCTTGTGTTTGCGGAGTAGCATTGGTATCTCTCCTTTCAGTAGTAGTGGTAGTAGTATTCAACGCTGGATCATTGGTACTTTCGTCTGAAGGCGACGGTACGAGCCAATCCTTGGGATGTTCTAGAATGGCTCGTCGTGGTGGATTGGGTTCCGGCGGCGGTGGATATCCTCGTGCGTTGGCCCACCAATGTTGCAGTAGATTAGACGTGTAATTCCAAACAATCGTCAAGGTCTCATTGCGAATGTGACGTCGTTTCCGACGGCTCCAGAGCTTGGTCTTCTTGGTGGTACCAGTACTGGGGTTGTTGTCGTTGTCGTTGGTCATCATCATGGTCGTTTGCTTTGTGCCATTGTGTTGCGCCGTTTCGCTGCATTTCCAACTTTAAAAAAGCCAGCAAGGCTGGTTTAGTCTGACTTCAACACTCCATCCAACCAACATCCCAGCTTCATCTTTCTGTCATCACCAAAGAACCAAAGAAGATGGAGCATGACGCCGAACAAGGAGCATCAGCAGTCGGCCCTTCAAATCCGTCAGGTGTAGACTCTATTGCCGATAACCCCGCCCCAGAAGGACCAGCTACTTTGCAGCAACCATTGGAGACTGACAACATCGAAGAGAACCCTGATATCAGCAACGAGGAACGATGGTCGCTGATTTGGACGTTACTGATCATCTACTCGGCGTATAATGCCATTGTGGGGTTCTTTGTGTCGCTTGGGGGATTTCTCGCCAATATGATCTTCTACATTGTTGTTGTTGGACCCACTTCCAGTTGTTCCCAAGCCGACAAACTATTCATCTTGTCCACTGTGATTTTTGGGATTAACTTGTGCGACATGACACTGGGGTGTTGCACGGTGGGATACAGTTGGTTCCTGAAAAGGTCTCCTGCTGCTGGTCCACAACAACAACATGGAAACATCTTGCCTCACATCCGCAACAGCATCATCATTTGCACAGTGCAACTGTTTCTTTCCTTGGGCGGCATTGTGATTGCCATTGTCGGGTTGGTGCAAAATGCCAGTGCATGCGCTGGATCGGGTGCTGGAATGGCATTTAACATTTTGCTGTTTTTGGACTCGGGATGGGAACTTTTCATCTGGATTGGAGCCTACGTAGTATTGCGTAAAGGGCATGCAAATGCACCCATCCCGGATATCGTGGACCAAATCGTACCAGATTCCGTGTGGGAAATTGCCAAACGAATACAGTTGTGAAAAAGCAAAAAAGTCACATTACTATCAACAGCGGTGGAATGGAATCTGGAGCCATACCGGTCAGTACTATCCTTTGGCACCGCATCAAACTCTTGAGTGCACCAAAAAACTGGTCCAAAATCTGGAGAGGGCTGATACACTGATTTAGTTTGTGGTTGCTTGGTTCCGCGATCATCATTGCGTTGTTGCGTCGTTGCGTCCTCTTTCCCCTTCTGTGCCCAACCCACCACCTTCTGTACCCCACGAGCCCCTCACTCATCAGGACCAAAGCCCAATAGGCAGCCATCATGTCGAGCTCCTCCGTCATTCGTTATATTGACAATGAAGGAAAGCGACATCGTCAGGGCCATTTGATGTCGTTACTTCCCACAACCAAGATAAGAGAAGGAGAAAGAGTCCTTGACGAGACAAGACTCTTCTATGACTTGAGTGCCTTCTTGGCGTACAAGCACTTCCAAGACAGAAGCAGTCAAGTGCTCCAGGACCTTTCCGAACGATTGGCTTCCTGCCATTTCCAGTGGACATTCCTAGGTATCATGACCCAGTTTTCTCCAATAGAAGCAGTCAGGGGGCTGACGACATACCTTGACAGGGTCAGAGCATCCAAGACAGCCAATGCGACAAACAGTACTTTGACCAACACTGATGATCTGGCTGTGCTTTCTCCAAAGACCACACGCACCAGTGCATCGCAAACAACAGAACTTCCTCTTCAGAAACCATTTGCCCTTTTGGGTGCAGCAAGATCCCAAGCATCTCACTCACTCAGTGTGCTTGCTGGAACAATGGAGTTGCCCCAAATCAGCTCTTCTTCTACTTCAGCTGTTCTGGATGATGCCCCTTTCTTTGCACGGACAATTCACCCTAGCGAGCACATGAGCAAAGTATTAATGGTGTATCTGAAATCACTGGGGGTTACTCATGCGGGCCTCCTTTTTTTCAATGATTCTTGAGGAAGATCCTATCAGAAAAATCTTGACTTTTATGCCAAGCAATTTGACATCTACCTACACCATTTTGTCTACAATGAACTGGATGACTTTGATGAAAGGGTACAAGAGTTGAAAGATTCACAAATGTGGTATTTCATTGGGGCCCTGAAGCCAGGGTATTGGCAAAGTGCTGTTCGCAATTTGTACTGGCAGGGGTTGATGGGGAAGAAAACTGAGGACAGCATCCACTACCAGTGGTTCTTTACTGGAATGCTGGACCTTGTTTCTGAGGGGTTTGTTTTAGATGCTAGGGAAGACTGGGACCTAGCTCATGCCCTTCATGGAGCTGGAGTCGTAGGGCAGAAAGTCACCCCCAATGCAGACTTTGACAATGCTCTAGCTTCCATAAAAGACGACAAAGCATTCCAACAGGAATTCATCAAAAGCCACTCAGAACCCCACCTATTCGACAATATCACCTTTGACACCCCTGGCTGGTCCAAGATACAGTTTTTGACTTATGACGCTGTCATTGCTCTTGGTATCACAGCCTGCGAGACTCCTGGTTTGTTCACTGGAATTAAATTCTATGACAACTTGCTGAAGATTGACTTTGAGGGTGTGTCATGTAGAGTTCAGCTAGACAGCAAAACAGGGAACCGCCGTGAGGAGGGTGTTGAGTTTGAGATTATCAATGTAGCTATCTCAGATCAAACAAGTGCTCACCAGGACAATGGATCGATTTCATTCACTCAAAATGCCACTGCTTTGATCACATTTCAACCAGAGACACACCAAGGCAATGTAGAATTGCTACAGCCTTTCCTCTACAATGACAACACAACAAAACCACCAACCCATGTTGCCCAACTGAG